TGTATCTGTAGTTTCAAAGATACACCTCTGCCCACACAATGGGAGTTGTCTATTCTGATGTCTCCATCACTGTATTTGATGCAAAGAGTGTCTCTATTTGATCCCTCTCAAGGGAAGTACGACCTTCTCAAGTCCCTGGGTGATGCAGTCTGTGTTCTGCTGAGGGGGAAGGGCAGGAGCAGCTCTGTCTAAGATACTAGTCTCCCTTCTGCTGGGAAATGCTGCCACTCTGGGATTACAGTAGGAAGTGCAATTAGATCTGAGAAGGCTGCTGGTTTCTCACCAAGTGGAAAACATACTCCCATTTGGAATTCCCAGTCTTCTTTTGCTTGAAGGCTCAGCACAGTGTCCTGGCCCCTTACCCGGCCATATGTCATTCCTGCTTGGGGCTGGACCCAAGGACAAGTGTGCAGAGAACCTAAAGATTGAGTCACCAGGATGCAGGGCTGGGTGCCAGACTTCTCCTAAAGCTCTTCCCTCCTCTGTTCTCATAATTTCTATGTTGAAGTTCCTTTTAATCTGTTTGGAGGGCCTTACTTGCCCTCATAGTAGCTAAAGACAGAAATGGAGGAAGATTAGACTTTTGAAGGTTAGGAAGGGAGAATCAGAGTCTGCACTACTGGGCATGCTGGAAGAAGTCACCGTCCCTTCCTAAAGGATAACAGAATCCTATGTCCTGTAAGATACAGAACTGAGATTCCATCTGGTAAATATTACAAAAATCCAGTGTTTTTTTTTTAAAAATGTCAAACATTTAAAAGTGGGCATTCATTCCACTACTGTAAAAACAGAACAGTAACTAGTAAAATGTGTATGGGAATCCAAGGGGGCAGGGGTGGGAACAGAGGGGTGAGGATGGCGGGGGGGAGGTCATAGGGTCACACAATTTGGTTGAGTGGGAGGTACAGGAAGTGGGAAAGATCCAACAGGGATGTGGAGAGACAGGGTATGACGGGTATGGTTTAATGGTGATTGATTTTATAAAACATAATGAGAATGATTGTATGTAACCCAATATGAATGAAGGATACTGTATACAGTGTATATAAACATTTTATGAAAGCCAATGTAAAATATTAAAAAAAAAAACCAAACCCAACCAACCATTCCTTCCTCCCTTTTCCCCAAGTTTGATGGTTAGCTTTCTAGTGGTGAGGGGTCAAATACTTATTTGCTAACCAGAAGCAGTTAGAATCTAGCAGCTGCTCCTTGAGACAAAGATCTCAGGTAAAGATTTACAGCCTTAAAGCCTCTATAGGGACAGCTTCACTATTCTACAGGGTGACCATGAGTCAGAAATCAAGAGCAGTGGGTTTGGGGTTCATTTGCTCTTTTTAACTCATAAATATGCCTTTCTAGGCTAACTCATGTCTGGCTGTATT